CCCCCCGCTCCTTCCTGGCACTGTGTGGAACCCACATTGCGTAATGCCAGCCTACCGGCCACGCCACGCCTCCCCATCGGGGGAATTTTGGTCTGAGATCACTCCACCCATCCACCCCTCGCCGCCGCTGCCGCCGCGCTCTTCTCCCTCCCTGCACGATGGTATATAAATCCCCCCGCCCAGCTGCAGCCCACAGCAGGGGGAAAAAAGAAACCCTCCTGGTTGCCGCCACCGTCCCGGGCTGCTTCGCCGGCCCTGCCCTGCCCCGCCCGAGGATGTTGGACGTGGACTACACACAGTGAGTGGAAGGAAGCCGGCTCGGGGATCAAGGGAACGGGCATCTGGAAAGCAAGCCTGCCTCGGAGCTGTGCCCAGGGACCTCCCCCCTCCTTTTAAAAGCAGGCAATATTTAAAGAAAAGCGTGACCTCTGAGCATGTGCAAAGTGGACAATCGTGGGCCCACCTTGGTATGGAAGGGGCTGCGTGTCATGAGCCCCGGCACCTCTTTTGGAGGGGAGGGGCGCCGATTAGGCACAGACAGGGACTTTCCGTTGGAGGGTTCGCCGCTGGCTGCCTCTCCGCGGAGACCGATTGGAGTTGTTCGGGGTGGGAAATAACTTCCGCAGGGCTCTGCCCCGAGGCTTTTGGCAGGCTTGCAAGAGGGAGCCGGTATTTGGTGGCTCCAAAGGAGGGCTTCTCTTAGGAAAGTCGAGAAGCCAGGGTTCGTTCCGGCGGGGGTGTGGGGAGCAGACTGCGAACCTGAACCCCTAAATTTGGTACAAGGTTACTGGGATGCTCGCGAAAGGAAGGCTGTGAGTTCAGTGTCTGCGCCCTCTGCGTGGGAAATGCGATCTTACTGGGCGGTGGATTGGTTTAGACGCCGCTTTCCCGCCGCCAGGAGTCTAAACGGCATTCAGACCGCCCCGTTATAATTAAAAACAAATACAGTTACAAATTGGAAGATGCTCATGTTGAAAATACTCAAGATGACTAAGACGCAGTTTTGCAAGAGTGGGTTGGACTTCTGGGGTGCCTTGCGTGCGTGAATGTCTGTGGTTTTCTTTCGGATCTCGAGGCCAGGTTTTCTGTCCTATTTGGCCTGAGAAATATATCGTACTAGTAGGCTTCGGTATTTAGCGGTGTTCCTTCAAAGTAAGTTGCCACCCGTGTTCCCTCTAGGCTGACTTAGTGTGAGCTAGCTCACAGTTTTTTAGCCTCCGGCTCACACATTTTTGTCTTCGCTCAGGAAGGGTGGCTCCAGAGCAAACTAATTTATGCAGTAGCCAAATCGCTCGCTCATGACTTTAATGCCAGTAGGTCACAAAGTAGAATTTTTGCTCACAAGACTCCACAGCTTAGAGGGAGCATTGGTTGCCACCAATATATTTCGCTTCGTGTAACATAACCAGTTGGTGTTAGAGAAAAATAGAACTTTCTCTCCATAGGACCATGATTTTAAGGGGGGGGGGGGAGAGACCTGAAATCTTTCTTTCTTTTTGCTTGTGAAAGAAAACTGTTGCTAAAAAAACCAAGCCCCTTTGCTTCCCCCAACCCCCTCCCTCTTTTTTTTTTTTTGCTCTCAGGTGGTTTATGCTGCTCTAACTTTCTCCCTCTCACTTTCCCTCCCCTTTTCTGGCCTTTTTATGCAAATACTGAGGCCTGCAAAGATGGGGAAAAAAATATTTGAATATTTCCTTAGCTCAAAAGCTTGTGACTGTTGGTGGATAGTGCTGGCTTGCATGAAGGGGGGAACGTGAAGGCTGTGTACAACTTCTATGTCCGACAGCCTCCCCCAATTATTATTTTGCCCCCCCCCCATGAGTGAACCACCACACTGTGAAAAGCAAGGCAGTGTAATCGGTGAGAGGACTGGCCTAATGTTTGAGGGCCCTGGTTTCAAATTCCTGCTCTGAACTGAAGCTTACTGGGTGATTTTGGGCCACTCTCTCCTACCTTACAGGGTTGTTGTGAAGAAAGGAGGAGACATGGAGACCCAGTGTGGTATAGTGGTTAAAATGTCAGACTAGGAAGCCTTGCTGGGTGGCCTTGAGCCAGATGTGTTTTCTCAGCCAAACGTACCTTTTGTGAGGATACAATGGAGGATGGGAGACTGATGTGGTAACCCTCTTTGGGCACCCTTTGGGGACAAAAGTTGGGCATAAATATTTTTTAAAATTCTATCCCTCCTTTTCTTATAACCCCCCCCCTCCCCACACCACCCTTCCCTCCTCTCTGCTTCCCCCCCCCCTTTCTAATTTTACATTTTAACCTTTCAGGTCTCTTCCACCCTATTTGCATTCCCAGAAATTTGGAAAAGGCCTTTCATTTGTGATCCTGTTTTGTTTGATTCGTCTCTATGGGACTTTGAGTCCATGCAAAGCGCTTCACAATCCTGGTTTTGTTCCCCTTCAAAGCGATCTGTGCCAGATCGATGGTCTGCTCAGGGCCTCTTCCAAGGCTGCACTGGGGTGGGATTAGAATCCAGGTCTCAAATCACTCAACACCACCAACAACCATTAAGGCCCCTTTGGCTGAATTTGTGTAGAAGTGTATTCTGTGTGCCTCTAGTGAGTTATTAAGAAAAGTAACACGTCCTCAACCATTCCATCCTACTTCGTTTTGGTTCATTTCAAGAAAGAATCGTGGTCGATCTAGTTTTATCCACAGTATCCTTGGTGCTGATATTTCTTGGTTTCATCTCTCAAGAATTTGGAACTTGGTCCAGTCTAGGCGTGATAGCTGAACAGGACCTTGTGTGATCCAAATGCTAGAGGGGTAGCTGTAATAAGTTTCTTTAAAATCTTCTGGCCCTGTATTGTCCAGTGGTCAATGCTGGGAGACCCAGCTTCAAATCTTGCCCTCAGTTGTGGCCTCAGTTCCCAGTCTATAAAATGGAGATAATAGTGGCTCCATCTTTCTGTTTCTGTGAGACAAAGGCTTTCATTCCAACATAAAAAGGCCTTAGCAGATTAAGTCACCTGTCCCACCCCCATATGGTTGTTGTTCGCACAGGCCCCATGATTCCTAGTATAGGCCTTTTTGGAGGCCAGCAGACAAGTTGACTGGATCCAACCCTAAAAGTCCTGCACACAAACCTACAGAGCAGGATCTGTTTAGTTAGTAGCTTAATCTACCCAAGCATTAGCTAACCAAATGATGGGGCCCATCATTTTAAAGAATGAGAAGGCAGGTTTTTTGAATGCATGGAGTTATGAGTACCTTTTTGAGGCTACTTTGGATCTGGTGTGTTACTGAAAGAGATAATGGGAAAACAGGAAACTTTGAGATGGACTTTCCTTCTAGATTTTGGTTATTTAATTGCAAGTTATTTGTTTATTTTAGAGTTTTATACCCTGCTTTTCTCCCCAGGGGGGACCCAAAGCAGCATACATTTCCCATTTTCTCGAGCTTATTTCAGAGGGAGCACTCGAATCTGGCTCTCCCAGATTCTAGTCTGACACTTTAACCACTACTCCATACCACTTTAACCACTACTCCACACCAAACCTTTGGTTGTGAGGTTCTGGCAATCTGTAGATCTAGTTCTTTAACAGTGCAATCCTAAAGCGAGTTGGCACCGTTTTAAGCCCGTTGACTTCAGTGGGCTTAGAAGGAAGCAACTCTTTTTAGGATTGCACTGTAAAATCCGTGGACAGCTCTAATCTTGAGTCACAACATAAAGTCCCCCCCCCCCCCCCCCCCCCAAAAAAATGTTACCTTTTCTTCTAGGGTTCACCTCACCTTTAATTATAGTAGCAGGAATTCTTCCCAATAGCTGTAATGGACAGAAGAGTGACAGGGAGGAGGGAAACGAAACCTAATTTGGCCTACAAGCACATCATACATATTCATCTACCTTTTCTCTCTGCAGGTTCGAAGGGTCCCAGTATGGCTATATGGTAAGCACGTGGTTCAGTTCTGTGTGCATGAGTAGGTTATCTTAGAGCAGCGATTCTCAGACTTTAGCAAGCCAGGGGACCCCTGTTCTGATCTCTGCTCTTGCGCAGCCCCTCCCCAAGTCTTCCCCTCCTCCCTCACTGAATCTGCCATGTGCCCACCCACCGTCCTTCTTTCCACATGTGCCTGGAGCCATGCATGCCTATAGACAATGCGGTCTTCAAAACAATAGAAAAGCCCCCATTTAAAAATGGGGTCAAGTCCAATGTTTGCATTGTTACCTGCTTGGATGTGAGAGAGACTTGTCTGTTCTTACAAGGATAGGTCCCCAGACCCCAGTTTGAGAAACTAAACCTTTGTCTTGGCAACCATGACCTCTGAGGATCTTCTTGGAGGAAAGGAGTCAGTCTAGCAGACCCCTGGGGTGAGCTTGATAGCCAGGACTGTGGGAGAAGGGTAAGGTTTTTTTAAAAAATGTGTCTCATAATGCTCTCTGTGCTTCCTTTAGTACCCCAGTGGCAGCATCTACGATTTGGACCCTTGCAAGCAAGAACTCTCCTTTCCTCCCTGCCTTGGAGACCCCGAGAGCTCCCCAGGTGAGCAGGCATGTTGGGGGAACCGGCAAAGCGCATGCGCTGGGGTTGCCTGGTAATGGTAACATGCCTAGAGTTTTGTAAATAATGTTCTTTCAGGGCCAGACTATTAGAGACGTTCCGTGATGTGAATAAGGGAGTCTGATTTGTGTAAGGATCACGGCAAGGGAAGGGGTTAACCTTTCTCATCCTGTGGCTCCCCCCCCCCTCCAATGTAAATCGGTCCTCTGGCTGCGCTGTTTGCCCTAGGGGAAGACACCACTCATTTGCATTGGGGGGGAAGGGTTAAACCCCTTGCTTGCTATGATCTGTATTGGGCTCCCCTACGGCTGCTGCTTAGAGAAGAGACGGGAGATCCTATCACAGATCTTGAATGCCTTTTGTAGATTGGCCCTCGCATCCCAGAGCGGTAGCCACAATTTGTTATACCAGGCAAAAGAAAATGGGGTCATGCACAGCACTTTTAAAGTTTATGGTGTTTATGCCGCAGTAAAACTGTTGGTCTTTTTGCTAGAAGATCCCAGAGTGGTAGCCACGATTTGTTATACCAGGCGAAATAAAATGGGGTCGTGCACAGCACTTTTAAAGTTTATGGCGTTTATGCCGCAGTAAAACTGTTGGTCTTTCAAGGGCTACAAGGGTTTCTTTGGGGTTTGCAGAGGAAGCTCCTGCTCAATCGTCAGATGGTCTCCGAAGTGACTTGCAGGCACATCTTCCTGTTTCGCAGCAGATGACAACAGGAAAGCCCGCTCTTCCCCTAACCTCCCTGTTTGCTTGATGCAATCTGGATTGAGACACGCGCTTGCTTTGTTGCCCGATTTCTGGGACGAGCTTTCTTATTCGATGCCTGGAGAGCGTCTGTCACGGGTGTGCCGCGCTGCCTTATTCTGAAAGAAATGCCGAATTTTTCATCATCAGGAGCTAGAACTTACCTCCTTTTGTGGAGGAGTGGACCATCAATGGCTGCTGGCTGTGAGGACTGAAGGGGGCCTCCATGTACAGAGGCAGCAAACCTTTGAATACCTCAGCCTCTGTGCCCTGTTAGTTGGGCCCTGTAGGGCAGCTGGTTGGCTGCTGTGTGAAACAGGATGCTGGACTAAATGGACCACTGGTCTGATACAGCAGGGCTGTTCTTGTGTTCTTGCCTGTACATCCTAGTCCGAGCCAGTGGGGGCCACTTTTCAGCAACTGGACTACAAATCAGATTTAGTCTGAAGTGTACTGAGGTACATCAGGGAGGGGCTGTGTGCTGGAGGTAGAGAAGAAGAGATTGGATTTATACCCCGCCCTTCACTACCCAAAGGAGTCTCAGAGCGGCTTACAAACTCCTTTCCCAAACTGCTCTTTTTCAAGGACAGCCCTCATCAGAACTATAGCTTGCCCAAGGTCACATCAGCAGGTGCAAGTGGAGGAGTGGGGAATCAAACCCGGTTCTCCCAAATTAGAGTCCGCACACTTAACCACTACACCAAACTGGCTCACAGGTAGTCGCTGTGGTTCTGCAGTAGAGCATCTGCTTGGCATGCAGAAGGTCCCAGGTCCAGTCCCCATCGTCTCCAGTTAAAGGATCTAGCAGAAGGTGATGTGAAAGATCTCTGCCTGAGACCGTGGAGAGCTGATGCCAGTCTGAGTGGACAGTATTGACCAGTGGTCTGAGAGCCAGTTTGGTGTAGTGGTTAAGAGTGGCAGGGCTCTAATGTGGAGAACCGGGTTTGATTCTCCACTCACCCCCACTCCTCCCCATGGGAATTCTCAGAGCTCTCTCAGCCCCAGCTACCTCACAGGGTGTCTGTTGTGGGGAGAGGAAGGGGAGGGGATTGTAAGCCGCTCTGAGGCTCCTTCAGGTAGCAAAGGGCGGGGTATAAAACCAACTCTTCTTCAGTATAAGGTAGCTTCATGTGTTTATAAGCCGCTCCTGCTCCTAACCAATGCTCCCTGTAAGCTGTGGAGTCCTGTGAGCAAAAATTCTATTTTGTGAGCTTACTGACCATTAAAGTTGTGAGGAGGTGATTTGGCTACCGCATAAATTAGTTTGCGCCAATTCAATGTTCCCTCTAAGCTGTGGAGTCTTGTGAGCAAAAATTCTCCTTTGTGAGCTACTGGCATTAAAGTGGTGAGCCAGTGATTTGGCTACTGCATCAATTAGTTTGCTCTGGAGCCATCCTCCCTGAGCTAAGACAAAAATTGTGTGAGCCGCAGGCTAAAAAACTGTGAGCTAGCTCACACCAACTCAGCTTAGAGGGAACACTGCTCTGGAGCCATCCTTCTGGAGTTGAGACAAAAATGTGTGAGCTGGAGGCTAAAAAAACTGTGAGCTAGCTCACATGAACTCACCTTAGAGGGAACACTGCTCCTAGCCACGTTCTTAGTGTGGCTTTTGCCTGGAGACAAGCGGCAAGGCCGTGGTGGAGAAGAGGGCAGCGGGTGGGTTCCAGATGCCTGGATTGCATGAAGCACCTAGAACGCCAGCTCCTAGCCACATTCTTAGTGTGGCTTTTGCCTGGAGACAGGCGGCAAGGCCGTGGTGGAGAGGAGGGCAGCGGGTGAGTTCCAGATAGCTACAACCTGGATTGCATGAAGCACCTAGAACGCCAGTCGGCCGCCTAGTGCCAGTCTGTGCTCCTGCTTTAAAGTCTTTGTACCAGCCCAGGTGGCATGAAAGATGATCGACAGCAGTGTATCTCTGAGGGGAAAAGCTCTCCCCCATACCAGTCACCAAAGCAGCAAGCCCAGGTGACTGAGGTTTCTACTTCCTCAGGGGGACTCCCCAGGGGTGCAGGAAAACACAGCTTTGTAAATAAGCAAAAGGGGGAAAGAACCCTTCAAAGATGACCTGGTAATTGACTCACAGAGGTAGAGACGGTTGAGAGCAGCTGAGAATGAGTTGGGGGGGGGAGGAAGAGGGGTCTTCGCATGCTTCTGAGGAGTGTACAGAGCTCTGGAGCGGGAGCTTTGGGAGGTGGGGGGGACGGCTGGGTTGGCTGAAGAGTGGCTCGTGCCCTAGTTACATGCAAGGCACATGGAGACTCAAGATAGAAGCAAATTGTTCATCCTTATGATGGGTGACATGTGCACAAAGGAGGACTTAACGGAGTTTTCTTGTGTCACGTGATATTCTTGCCATCAGATGCCAGGGGTTGCAGAGGGGACCCTCTGCATATAAGGCAGGTACTCTACCGCTGAGTCCTCTTCCTTTGATGTGTATTGCCAAGATCCCCATTTCCCTCCCACCCCTTTGTCACAGTTGGTTTCAAGTATAGTCTCCATAGAAGTGAATGGGAATCATTCACTTTCAGGGGAGAAAAGTAAAGGAGGCACCTGAGGTCTGTGGTGACGGCTAAATCTTTTCACTGCCCTCCTGGTGGGAATTAAACCTCCTATTCTTTCTTGGTTCTGTTTCAAGGATTGGGCAGTGTGATCTGCTATGCACATTAGAAAGTGGAGGCCAGAGCACATTCCAAAGACTGAGGGGCCACCACTGAGAAAGCCCCGTCTCTAGTATCCCTCCCTGTTGCCTTCATGGGCAGGGGAAGAGAGAGCAGGGCTTTGAGATAAAGATCTTAACTGGTTAGCAGGAGAGATCTTGGTCTCAAAGACCTTTAAAAGGCATTTGCAGTGGTCCATCCCTGCCTGATCAGCTCCTGTCTTCTTAGTAGCTGACAAAAATCAAGCCTCATATATCCTGGAAGATAGTTTGGTAGTGAGAGATATTTAATTGATTTTGAAAAGCAGTGCTTTTTATCATTTAAACGTTCTCTCTCTCTAATGTAAAAACATTGTTTAGGGAGCGTTAAAAATATCCAGAATTAAAAACGCTAATGACCCAAAGGTTATCACAAGTTTTCGAGCCCTTTCAGGATCATCTCTGGCTTTGCCAGAATTCTGAAAGAAGTTTATTGCTGGGAGGAAGCGAGCATTCTGTGCATTCTTTTTGGGGGTGGCCATTGGTACATGTGTACACAAAGAGTGATTAAAATATGGAATTCGCTGCCAGAAGGTGTAGTGATGGCCACAGGCCCAGAGGAATAAACAACTTTAAAAGGGGATCAGATAGATTCATGGAGGGTAGGTCTATCAGTGGCTACTAGCCATGGTGGCTGAGGGGAACCTCCACATTCAGAGGTACTAATCCTCTGAATCCCAGAGCCAGGAGGCAACATCTGGGGAAGGCCTCAGCCTCTTTGCCCTGTTGTTGGCTGCCCAGAGGAACTGGTTGGCCACTGTTTGAGACAGGATGCTGGACTAGGTGGACCATTGGTCTGATCCAGCAGAGCTCTTCTTATGTTCTTATAAGAATTATCGCATACATTAACTTTTTTTCTAGCTTGGGTAAAACTTACTAAAAAACCTCAAAAGAAGGCATTTTTCACCAGCTTTTTACAGAGGAGGAAATCTAAGGAGTCTGATAACCCCTCCATGTTTTTAAAGAAGCGCCCTCTTATGGAAAGAGGTAGAACTGCAAGCTTGCTGCTGGCAATTTGATGCTCCACCCTATGCAAAGCGATGGTAGCCAATTTGCAGACTCCTGGTCTGCAGCTGCCAGCAGCTCACAGAAGAGCCTTTGTGCCTTGCGTGGAGCACCCCCTTCCTCTACCTGTGAGAGCCAAATGTACATCAGAGCCAGGACACCTGGGCTCTTGAAAGGAGGGGGGGGGAGATGGAAGGTTAGAGCAGCTTTTTAGTCTACATAGCTGCCTGCTCATGTTGCACAGCAGATGTGTCAAGTTGATGGCAGAGGCATGTCTTGAAGTAAGCAGTGGACATATCCTGGGGACACGGCTGAGGCGGGCCTATCCAGACTAAGATCCCGAGATCCAGTAATAAGATCTGCACAAATCCTGCAATCACAGAATTTCAGTCTAGGGAATGAGTGGTTGTGAAGATGGGTGAGTCAGTTTCACCTGATATCTGTAATCTAACAGCAATGTGAGGCCAGCAGGATTTGACTTGCCACATAAAGTATGGAAGACAGCTAATAGAATACGAACAGGCTTTGGCAGTTGTGCACACCTGTTGCTTAAATGGGGCGAAATACCAGGACCCGAATGCGATTGTGGTGCAGACCGCCAAACTATTGTCCATCTGTCTCAGGAATGTGAGCCTCGTGCTTTCCAGGGAGATGTGATAGAGCTCTTTGAACTCTCCCCAGCTGCGACTGAGTGGATTGAAAATCTAGATATTCGTATTTATGGGGATTGCCCAATCGGTCTGCATACCCCTTGTATCACCTTGGTTATGTATTTGATATTATCATATGCTTCCTGTGTGTAACTCTGCCATATGATAAATAAAATACTATACTGGGGACCCCTGGCCATCTCCCTCCCTCCCTCCCTCCCTCCCTCCCAGGCTGCCTTTCTTGTTGAACCTCAAGGCAATTACAAAATTAGAAAACAGTGCAGTATTTAAAAAACATATTAGATATGCCATAAGCAGTGCAAAACTGGATTCCAAGAATGAGAAGGCAATGCACTTAGAATGCCCTTTCAAGGGGCGACTGGGCGAGGAAAAGGGCTCAACAGCCAAGGAGGTGTGTGTCTGGCCAGCGCCGAAAAAGAGTGTCCCTTCAGGGCTGTGGCCTGCCAGGACCTTTCCTCCCCTGCAGTCATTACAGGCAGCCTCAGGCCTAGAGATGTGAAAACCCGGAAAAAACCCGGAAAAAAAAGAAAAGAAAAGAAAAAAATGATTATGGAACGTTTTATTTTAATATGATGAATAAAATATTTTAAGACAAGGTGTTCAAATATTTTCCAAATCGTTTCTAATATATATATATATGGTATCAGATTGATCTAATTTCTGTGCACTGAGGACAAGCAAGTCCTAGGTTACAAACTGAACTCTCCAATGCAAGAACAAGATGCATTTCTTCCTTTAGGAGGTGCTATTGTCAGAAGAAAATAAAAAGGTTTCAGTTTTGTTTTTGCATGTGGGTGGGTATTCTGTTTGTAATAATTGTTTGGATACACTATATTTTTAATATGCTAGTTGTGATAATTTCATGCCAAATAAAAATGTCCATAGTCATATTTTATGTTCCTAAAGTGACTTTCAATCTAGAAAAGACAAAAGAAATGCTAATGTAGCATTTTTTTCAATTTTTCCGAAAATGTACGTTCCCCCCCCCAGCTTCAACATTTCCGGAAATTTTACATCTCTACTCAGGCCCCTGAAGGAAGGGAGAGGGTTGGGTTGCCATCCTCCAGGTGGTGACTGGAGATCTGGGATTGCAGCTGACCTCCAGGGGACAGAAATCAGTTCACCGGGAGAAAATGGCTGCTTTGGAAGGGGGACCCTATGGCATTACGCCCCGTCGAAGTCCCTCCCTTCTCAGGCTCCACCCCCAAAATCTCCGGGTATTTCCCAACCTGGAGCTGGCAACCCCTAGGTAAAATGGAATTTTTCAGGAGAGTGCTTTTATAAAGGGAATAGTGGTTTATGGCACTCTTCATTGTATACATTATCTGGCTCTCACGGCATTGTTTTCTAACAAGGTAAGCCTCAGAAGTGTTACACCCTTCTAATCCCATTGACTTCAGTCGACTCAGTAGGGTGTGAATTTGTTTAGGGTTTCACATGCCTGCAATTCAGTTTTTGCATTATTTCTGATCCGTCACATCTTATACTATTTCTGTTGCGTTATTGTAATCCACCTTCTCACTGAGATTGGCATGCTATCATTAAATACAGGGGACCAGGAGGGAAGAGGGGCATGAAGACTGGGGACAAGGGCGGTCAGCAAACAGCCACAGGAGTTCTGTATCCCGATTTCATTTAAAACAAAAACAGCGAGGACTAGAAAGTTGAGTCTTTAAAATAGGCAGCCAAATTCTTGGCCACAAATTTGTGCGGGCATAGAATGAACAAACCCGCACCACTGGGTTTTTGGGTTTTTTTTTTTTTTTTTTTGAAAGCCTCGATCTCTTGGATTCTCTTTCTGACAGAGCTTCCTTTTTCAGAGAGCTGTATGAACTGGCTAGAGATGCAGGAGCCGGGCTACGCCGACTTCGAAGCGGGACATTTGGCCCAGCTGCAGAATGTCCAAGTTTCCTATTTGCATGGCTCTTACCCTCAGCACCCCCTGGATTCAGTTTACAGCCAGGAGGACATGATGTCCCCGCAGAATATGTGTCTCGGGTCCAAGGATGAGTTTAATACTCAGGTAAGGGGGAATGCCCGGGGGGAGGTGGGAAGGATGGGGCTGGTCTCTGGGATGGTCTAGAGAAGAAGAAGAGATTATACCCTGCCTTTCACTACCCGAAGGAGTCTCAAAGTGGCTTACAATCACCTTTCCCGTCCCTTCCCCACAACAGACACCCTGTGAGAAAGGTGGGGCTGAGAGAGCTCGCCCGAGAACTGCCCTTGAGAGAACAGCTCTTAAGAACTTGTTACTGACCCAAGGTCACACCAGCAGCCGCATGTGGAAGAGTGGGGAATCAAACCTGGTTTTCCCAGACTAGAGTCCATGCTCCTAACCACTACACCAAACTGCTGCATCCAGAAGAGGGAAGCCAGGACTCCTGGCTGCCAGGCGAGAAGGTGGCATTGGGTGGGTGCTGCCAAATGTGCCTTAGATTCATGGGGAACAAACTAGGCTCTGCTGGGAAGGATGTAACCACTGCAGGGAGTGAGGGATGGGCACAGGCCTTTTGAGGTGGCATGATGCAAGGGACTCCAGAAATGCCAAGTGCTCGGTGTGCCGGATCGAGACTCATGCTGCTCCCAGAGTGGCTTTCTTCCCGTGTGAATGGAAGGCCACTCTGGATGAATTAATCTGGAAGGACCGATTGCCGCCTCCGAGGGCTGTATTGCCCAAGCATTGCATGACATTTCGCTACTGAAGTCCTGTTTCCCAGCTGTGATCCCTGTAATCGGCAAGGCTGCAGGTCTACAAGTGGGCTGTCAGCCATGTCCCCCTGCTCCAGGTCACACACACACACCCCTTCCAGGGGCTTTTCCAGATGCAGGGGAAGTTGTATGTGGTAGAGCAATTTAGAGCAGGGGAAAAGCACAAGAAGATTCCTCCTCCCTCTGCTCATCTGGTCTCCAGTGATGACCGTGCAGAAAGGTTTTGCATCTGTATTTTGATCCCCCGTACACAGTTTTTTTTGCCAGCTGTGTTTTTTTGCTGCATGGAAGTGAGGTGGCGAAGCATGGATGTTGCCATCTCAAAAACAGACAGGAATGGGCAACTTTGACCAGGAAGATAGCTCCTGGGCAAAGGGTGAAATGCCCTTTCCTCATCTGCTTCAATAAAATTGGTAAACCTCACCCCACTGTAACGGTATTTCAATAAGAATATCTTTAGCTGTATGGCCGTGGTCTTGGCATTGTAGTACCTGATGTTTCGCCAGCAGCTGCGACTGGCATCCTCAAAAGTATAACATGGAAAGATGGAGTACTCTCTGTGTCCATGTGTCACAGATAGTACTCCATCTTTCTGTTATACCTCTGAGGATGCCGGTCACAGCTGCTGGCGAAACGTCAGGTCCTACAATGCCATACAGCCCAGAAAATCTACAGTTAATGAACTCCGGCTGTGAAAGCCTTCGACAAGAATATCTTTGGTTGATCCAGTCACAGATCTCTCATGCGGTGAGTCATTCGATCCAAAATGGTCGGAGAGCCAGGGGTGCTCCCTGAGCCAGTTAATCCTTCCTAAGTTCACCCTTTCTTGTATGGCTTCTGACTTCCACAGATCTACATCCCGTATGAACAGTATTCTGTTCCTGTGGCCATCCCCAGCCCGTCTTCTGAGGAAGAGGAATTTCCCATGGACAGCCCAGCTCTTGAGGTGTCTGACAGCGATTCAGATGAAAATCTCTCGCATGGGCTTGGTTCAGGTGAGCCTCTCCTTCCCCCCATTTTTAAATCCCAGATGTGTCTTGGACGTATGTTTGGTACAATTCCTGAATACTACGTTGGGTCTTCCAGCCTCTGATCTGAATGTTTTCAGGACCTAAATTGGAGAATATCCTCAGTGGTAAACAGATGATGGTAGGCCGGGATCCCACACTGGTGGCAAAGTCGAGCATATGCCAGCATCCTGGCCCAGTACTACAAAAAAGACTACCTGTGATATACGGCACTATAATCAACTCCAAGCAAGAATTACTTATACATGAATGTCTCGTTGCTTCTTTGTATATTTGCATACTACGCATTATCAAAATTCATACAAGAATAACAGTGTTCCTTAACAAACCACAAGGTCATAACAATTCCATAATCCAAAGATCAAAGATGCAAGACATACAGTTTCTTCAGGAGGCATCTAAACTATGACTTAAATTGGCAACCAGCTCCAAACATTCATTGTTGATAAGCTGGTTGCCAGTTTAAGGCCCCAGTCACACTGGGGGAAATAGGTGCGGCCAAAGTGCGGCTTTTTTGAGCCGCACCAAAAGAGACGCATAGCGGCAGGATCAGACAGATCCCCCCCAGCCGCCACGCAGGTCCTCCCCGGCATGCGCAGTTCGGCAGAACCTCGCATGTTGCGGGAGAGACGGGCACGCCGGCGATCAGACGGCCGTCCCTGCAGCGGATTTTCAGGTAGGTAGTGTTTTCTAGGGTTTTTTTTTTTTAATGCGCAGTTTTGCCTGGAAGGGACGGATCGGGGACGGGTGCGCGCTGCTTCCCAGATGTTGCGGTGTGATCGCACCCGCTTGATGTGCCCCCGATCCGTCCCTCTCGCGTGGCAAATCCTCCCGTGTGACTGGGACCTAAGTCATAGTTTAGATGCCACCCAAGAGAAGGTTTTTGTGAGATTTTATGTCCTTAGTGAAATTGATGGCTGGAGTTATAATATCGTCTGATGAAGACTGCAAAACGTGAACTGAAAATCCCGGGAATCACGTCTACTTTGGGAACAACTTTGTGTTGTGCATCTAAAAAGCAACTTTGCGTCTTGCATCTTTGATCTTGGGACTGCGGAAGAAACTGTACGTCTTGCATCTTTGGTCTTTGGATTATGGGATTTCTATGACCTTGTGGTTTGTTAAGGAACACTGTTATTCTTCTTGAATGAATTTTGATAATGTGTAGCATGTGGATATACAAAGGAGCAAGGAAACATTCATGTGTAAGTAATTCTTGATTGGAGTTGATCACAGGTGGTCTTTTTTGTAGTGCTGGTTCTTTAACTGTGATTGCACAGCCTCAACAAAGCTGCTGTTCTCACTTTGTATGGAGCAACTGTTATGGACAGCAGACAAGAATTCTTGGCTTCCCTCTTTCAAACTAAGAGGTACCATACTGGAATTTCGGGAAAGGGCCTTCCAATTCCTGGAGTATCCATTGGGCTTACTGGCACCCTTTGGGCCTGCTGTGAGGTGGCAGAAAGTGGTTCATCCCACTGAATGATAGAATTCTGGCTCGCTGGATGCCTAGACATGCTTGGCGGTGGTGGGAAGTGCAGTCAAGTTGCAGCCGACTTATGGCGACCCCTAGTGGGGTTTTCAAGGCAAGAGATGCTCAGAGGCGGTTTGCCATTGCCTGCCTCCGTGTCATGACCCTGGTATTCCTTGCTGCCCTCCCGTCAAATATTAACCATGGCCAACCCTGCTTAGCTTCTGAGATCTGACATGATTGGGCTAGCCTGGGCTATCCAGGTCAAGGCAGGCATCTTTAGGTTACACCTACATATTACAAAGGCTTTGCGTTTGTTGGGGATCAACACAATAACTTTGTAATACACACGTGATGGAAGTTTTGTGCCACCCAGGTGCACACCGGTTTGGGGTGGGTTGAGGATGCAAAAACAATGGGTGTGTGTGTTTAACACTGCTTCTCCTTACGTGCTGTGGTCACAAACTGAGAAGAGCTAGGGTGTACCTGAGAAGCACAAACTCTCATCACAGGTGTGTTATGAAGTCCTTGTTCCTTGCTGGAGTCAGATCCAGCAGCCTTCCCCTCTGTACTGAGTGCAGACAGGTCATTGTCTGACGAAGTCTGCGTGTACATGGAAGCTCACACCTTGAATTTGTCTGACGAAGTGTGCGTGTACATGGAAGCTCACACCTTGAATAAAACTATGTTGGTCTTAAAGGTGCCACTTTGTTCTAGGCCAGCTCTGGTCTGCAAATTCCTGGAGGTTTGGGGGTAGAGGCTGTGGAGGGAGTAGTTTGGGGAGGGATTTCACGTCACCTCTGTGGTATACCAGCTCTCCAGATCTGCCATTTTCTTCAGGGAAACTGATCTCTGTAGGCTGGAGACCAGTTGTGATTCTAAGAGAACTCCCTGGAGGCTGGCAACCACAGGGCATAGGCAGATGTTCAGCCTGATAGAGAAGAGAGAATCAGACACCGCCTCTCTCTGTGTGTGAATGGAGGTTGCCGGCAACAGATAGAGTCGAGATGCTGAGCCGCTTATGAAAAGAAGCCTCTCTCTGCCCTCCCGGGTCCAAAGGGTTCTTGAAAACAAGATCCAATCAGAAGAGTAATCCATCCAGTCAGAGTGGGTGAGGACCACTCCCAGCCGATAGTAGATAGTAGGATTAACATAAAATCATATCTCACAAAGAACGTAACATTATCATAAGAACCTACTTTGCATATCTGTCAATAGTTGGGAGTGGTCCTCATCCACTCTGAGTGGCTTGATTACTCTTTGGACTGGATCTTGTTTTAAACCGGCCTTTCACTGAAAGATCTTCCCCCTTCTCTGCCGCCCTCTTTCCGTTGTTAGTTTTTAGTATAACAGTATCTGCTTAATGGGCAAGCACTCCAATGCATCTCCTCTGCCTAGTGGACAGGCACTCCGGTGCATCTGATGAAGTGAGCTCCAATTCATGAAAGCCTGTGCTAGAATAGTAAAAAAGCCCAGTAGCACCTTTAAGACTAACAAACTTTATTGTAGCATAAGCTTTCGAGAAGCACAGCTCTCTTCATCAGATGCATCTGAAAAAGAGAGCTGTGTTTCTCAAAAGCTTATGCTACAATAAAGTTTGTTAGTCTTAAAGGTGCAGTTGGGCTTTTTACTATTTTGCAGCAACAGACTAACACGGATAACTTCTCCGGGCTAGAATAAATGTTGATCTAGTTGGGCAGCCATGTTGGTCTGAAGCAGTATAACAAATGGACTCTACATTTGTTTGAGAATAAATGTTGTTAGTCTTTAAGATGCCACTGGACTCCTGTTGTATTTTGCTGCTACAGGCTAATACACCTATTCCTCTGGAATCTTCACTGCTATCCTCACTAGGGTTACCAGCGCCAGGTTGGAAAATCCCTGGAGATTTGGGAGTGGAACCTGGGGAGGGCAGGGTTTGGGAAGGACCTTGGTGGGGTATAATGCCTCCAAATCACTCCTTTACTCCATGGAAACTGATCTCAGTTGTCTGGGGATCAGCTATAATTCCAGGAGATCTCAGCCCCACCGGGAGGCTGGGAGCCCTAAACTCAGGGCTATTTTGGGGCAGGAACGCACAGGAACAGAGTTCCGGCTGGCTCCCGAGTTGGCCACGCCCAGCAGGAACTCATTAGCATGATAGGCCACACCCAACAGCAGAGACGCATTAGGATTGGCTACATTAGGGGTGTGTGGCCTAACATGCAAAGGAGTTCCTGCTACAAAAAAAGGCCCTGGGTTTTGACCACAAACAAGGTAAACAGAATAAGAAGCAAAAGGTGGGTGTGGCTAGATGACCACAGTTCTGGTAACATGGGTGTGTGGCCTAATATGCTAATGAGCTGTGCTGTCCGCGCTGTGGCCTAATATGCTAATGAGTTTCTGCTGTTGGCTGTGGCCTATTATGCTAATGAGTTCCTGCTGGGCTTTTTCTACAAAAAGAGCCCTGCCTAAACTCATGCATGCCGTCTTCCTAATAGCACAGAGTGCATTGTCACATGAGAGGAGGGAGGAGGCAATTAGCACCCGGCCCAATATTTGACTTGCATTAATGATTAAAAGCAAATTAGACGTAGATGCAAATAATAAGCAAAGGAGAAGGGGGAAACAAACTCAACCAGAAATGTACTGAGAATGCCTCCAAGGTCGAGCTGCAGCAAATAAAATCTGTATCAAAAGAAATATATTTATTATATAGTGTGCACGATAATGTAATTAAAAACTTCGGGCCTGCATATCAGGCTACATTAAAAGTCATTGAGAACCAGTTTTACATAAGCTATTATAAACCCCTCATATAAAGTTGATGATAAACACCAGATGACCCACACAAAACCAAAATATTAAGGCCATCCTATTTTAAATGTTATATATTTATTTTTTCTAAAACGAAAGGGAGTAGGGAAGGAGGGAAAGACGACTCTTATAAAATGAAGAACATTTTAAAATGTTCACAAGACATCATAGATTATCCTGAGCTACCAATGCTATTTTGCGTATAAAAGATGAGATGAGTAATAACATAGATATTTAGATACTTATAATTTGTGAAAACATATGTATCAAATTTAGAAAATATAAACTATTCTCAAAGATTTCAAAAACTTGCTTCCCCCCCAACCATATTAGCATTATTATACATTTCAGTAAAGAAATATTATAACAATTATATTAATGCTTGAAATATTTTGAATGTTATCTTAAACTGTGGCACTATAGACAGTATTGCAGAAAATAATATATTTCTATTAGCATATTGAGAAAGTATAAGAATCTAAAGCACTAATATTGGTTATTCAGATGTGTGGCCTCTATTGAAAATATCAAACAGTAAACAGTGTTTCAATTATATCATTGCAAATCAGACCAAGCGACAGATATTCCACATCCTCCCTTTCAGATTAAGGGCATCTTTAGAAACACAACAGAAATGGTATGGCCTAGAAGTCTGAACCAAAAATGGGGGAGAAAGCAGGAGCCAGTGGGCATCACAAGATCTAAGAAGGCTAAAGAAGGGAAGATGGAGTGGTGGGAGGGTTTCTGTAAGCTAGAGGAAGAACCCAGATATGGCAGGGAATGGGAATAGCTGTGGGTTCATAGTAGCTTTGCATGCAGAAGTTCCCAGGTTCAGTCTGCAGCAGGGGTCATTTCCTGCAGGAGCACACAGGAGCGGAGCTCCGGCAATAAGGAGCCCAGGGGGCGGGCACATAAAACAAGCCCCACCCCCTGCTCCCAGCAGCCCTCATTTGGGCCACGAGGAGCAAGAAGCAGCCAGGTAAGTTGCAGAGCCCCCCTAGCCCGCCTTCAGGTACAAGCTCTCCCTCCTCTGTGAGGGCAGATCTGCACGTCCCCCCCCCATAGCTAGCAATCCAAAACAGTCCAGTGGCACCTTTAAGACCAAGTTTTATTCAGGTACAAGCTCTCCCTCCTCTGTGAGGACAGATCTGCACGTTCCCCCCCACCCAGTAGCTAGCAATCCAAAACAGTCCAGTGGAGCCTGAGCGGTGGGTGTTGCCTTCTGACACACTTCCGGTGATGTCAGGGGGTGTGGCATATGCAAATAAGTTATGCTAATGAGCTCCTGCACCTCTTTTTCTACAAAATGACCCCTGGTCTGCAGCATCTCCTGTTGGAAGGATCAGGTAGTAGGTGATGGACCTCTGCCTGACACCTCTGGGGAGCTGCAGTTGAAGTGCAGACCTTACTAGGTTAATGATCTTCTGATTTAGTATAAAGGCAGCTTTATGTGTTCAATGGTAACCGTAAGAAGGAAGATTTAAAGTGGTACACATTCCGTATCATTCTTGGGGGAGGTCTGCGCATTAAAATTTGCAGTGTTGGCAATCCAAAATCCCTTAGCTGAGTTTCTTCCAGTGTTCCCTTTAAGTTAATTGAGCTAGCTCAGTTTTTTAGCTTCCGGCTCACACATTCTTGTCTTAGCTCAGGCAGGAGGGCTCCAGAGCAAACTAATTTATGCAGTAGCCAAATCCCTCCCTCACAGCTTTAATGCCAGTAGCTCACAAAGTAGAATTTTTGCTCACAAGACTCCATTGTATGCCAATAAAAGGTATTTGAATTGAATTGAATTGACTCCACAGCTTAGAGGGAGCATTGGTTTCTGTCTGGCCCACTCTGCCACATACACGACAGACAGTGATTCTTTTCTAACCGGAGAGGTGTTTCTGATCAAAGTTGTCTCCCCTGACCTGAAAACCTTTGTTCTAAAACCACAGTTATGTGGTTTGGTTTTGTTTCTGCTCAGTGGTGAGAGACTTGTGATTTCCTCAGAACTGAGCTGTGACTCTGAGAGCTTTAAACCCTGACCTGAGGAGAGGTAGAAATGTTGATTCCTGTATTCAGCTTAAATTTTCTGCCACCGCACAGAAATGTGCCTAGTTAATAAAATCATGGGGAATGTTAAATTTATGTTCTCTCATGGTTGCTGAGAACAAAATCTGAGGCATATGTCAGTTTTTGCCGCTGTGTCTATAGATCCAACCAGTTTTTTTGTTCAGTCTTGCCCAGTTATCCTCCTTACTACAGCCCCCCCGCCTCATGTGGCTTTTGTCCATGCCGGTCCCATGATCCGCAGCATAGATTATTTGGCGGCAAGGTTGCCCCCAGCTCTGGGTTAGGAAACACCTAGAGATTTGGGGGTGGGTTGGAGCCTGGGATGGAGGAGTTTGGGAAGCTTTCTGATAGGAGGGGGTGGTGGATGTCACCAACAACAACGTTTGCTGGGAGGGACCAAAGGTGGTACATAGGCTGGAAGAGGAAGGCATGGTTCTTCCAGCTTCCTCTTCAAGGTGCCTCTCCCCCACAACATTGTGTTCAGAGTACCTGACGCAGATTCACCTGGGCTTTCTCTCGTCGTCTTCAGGGTCCTGCCGAAAGCTGCGTCTCTACCAGTTCTTGCTGGAACTCCTAGAACGTGGGGACATGAAGGAGTGCGTGTGGTGGGTCCAGCGTGACGCGGGCATCTTCCAGTTCTCTTCCAAGCACAAGGAGGTCCTGGCGCACCGCTGGGGACAGCAGAAGGGGAACCGCAAGAAGATGACCTACCAAAAGATGGCCCGGGCCCTACGCAACTACAGCAAGACCGGTGAGATCCAGAAGGTGAAGAAAAAGCTCACGTACCAGTTTGGGACCTCGCTGCTGGGCAAGTCGGCTCCCTCTTAAACGGTCCCCCTGTCTAGGATTTATAGGGACCTTGGACTGTCACATGAACAGATCTCCACCCCCAATACAAGTGTCTCCCCGTCAGAATCTGCACTGCTGCTTCAGGGTGGGAACTGCCCCAGAATTCTCTGTGAGGGGAAGATTGACTCCAAGGTGTTGCCAGCTTCCAGCGTACATGAATCTGAGCTTCATGGGGGAATTGGGGCTGCTGGATTTGCTTGGGTGGGAAGGGAGGTAGCATTATACATCAGGGACAGGGCTGGGAATTAGGATTTCTTGTTAGGGGTTAGCTTTTATCTTGCTAAGGGGGGATTAGGAGTGAGTATCCTATCTGCTGAAGTCCACTTCATAGTTTTTCTTTGGTGTGGGAAAGAGGCTGAGCAGAGGAATAAGATTTTTAATAGGAAATGGATTACAGGGCTTGCCTTTCAGTGGTGATGGGGGTTACTCTATAAGATGGGACTGGAGCTGGTGGTATTATTGTGTGTGGGACAGAGCGAGGCCAAGATGTGGATGGGTCAGAGACTCCGAGGGCTCTCGTGTGTCTCCATGGCAAGCAAGTCTAAGAACGGCTGGTTTAACAAGAAAGATTTTTTTGTTAGGATATATGTGGGTTGCTGGTTCTTCTGGGAGGGGATGAGATCGTTCAGGTTATCGGGGGCAACGGTACCTATGAAAACTCCTTCCTGGGAGTTTTGTATATAGTTAAGATGTTTATTTAATACTAAGGGGTTTTTTTATCTCCAAAGTTTGTACAAATCTGATTTATTTTTCAATGGATCTTTTCTGTATAAATTGTAAATTTGATAATAAAGATTTTATGACCAGTTTATGAGAACCTTGTTTTGAAGCATGTGGAAGTGTGTACGGGCAGACAGTACTGCGTGTCTTGACATTTTCTTTAAGGGGAACTAATGTCTAGTCAGGCCGACATGCAGATCATCTGCATTTCTTGAGGTTTTCTTTAAGGGGGATTCATGTCTAGTAAGAACGGCAAGCACATCATCTGGCTATTTTGAGTGGAATCAATGTGTCTATGACTCCTAATCTGATACTCTTAATGACGACATTTAAAAAAAAATTAAATCCTTTTATTCGTTTAAATTAAAATTACAGTATTAAAGCCACAATTAATAATATTCGTTTAAATTAAAATTACAGTATTAAAGCCACAATTAACAATCTGTTACAGAACCAAAAATCACAATGACCAGCCATCTAAACTATGTTGCATTGGGAGAATTACATCCTTAACACATAGAAATTCTAAGACTGGTTTCCATATTTTGTCATATTCACATAGACAGACTACTCTAACTACTACATAGCATTGCCTAATACTTTTAAGGGTGCAGAGGAAGACAGCTGACCATCTGAGAGCTGCACAGACCTTGGGATATGTATTTATTTAGTTACTTTATGTATGGTCTGCTTTTCTTTTTGAGGCTGAGAGCCAGCGTGGTGTAGTGGTTAAGAGCGATGGACTCTAATCTGGAGAACCGGGTTCGATTCTGCATTCCTCCACATGTAACCAGCTGGGTGACCTTGGGTCAGTGACAGCTCTTTCAGAGCTCTCTCAGTCCCCCAAATAAGTCTAGCTCATCACCTAGTGGTGCATAACCCTAAAAGAGCTAGAACTTTAGGCTGCCAGACAAACTTAGGATTTCCTTGCTATATTACACATAATGCCATATGATAATTTTTGAGGCTGGGTCTCGGGAAGCAGGGTTGTGGCAGCAGCTCCCACTCGCCCATATGGGCAAGAGCCATCCCTTGCTTGGGCCTGGCAGGAGGACTGGCAGTGTGGTGGCATCTTTTGGACTTTTGCCCAGGGCAAAATCACGAAGGCTGTGCCAACTGCCTGATGGGGAAAAAAGTCCTGCCTTCTTAATAGAGACTAAATTGGGGTGTTATTTACAAGGTGATGGTGTTTATCTTCATACTATGAAAAGCCTTCAGTTGCCCATTTCCACACACGGAGCATCTATTAAAAATGCAGGACTTTTTCTCTCCAATTGGGTCCTGTTGCCATAGCATGTATGGGCTGGCCAAACCCACTGAGTTGTAGCTTCACTGGCAGGAGGGCTGTTGGGTCAGTCCTTTAATGTGAACAAATTTGAAGCTATCCGTTTAACCTGTTGCTTGAGTGTCTAACCACCGAAACTTGACAAATGGATGTACGGGGGCGATAAACCCTTTTGCTGGAAGTGTGAAGCACATTTTTTTCTCTGGGGGTTTCCTGCCTGCTGAAGCGTCCACTGTGCACTGCTTGGATATTTATTTGTCAATGAAGCAAATATTACAACACCCTCGCCACACACATTGTTTAAAACTTTAATATGCTAATAAAAGTGCAGGGAACTTAATTTTACTTAGCAAAATCGAGACCAGACTGGAGGGTTAAATCCCATTCCCCTTTCTGTGTGGCCCTGATCCAAATCGCAGCTGTATGCACATACAGTTTTGTCTTTTACAGGAAGAGGGAAATGGGTGATCTTCAATAGCACCTGTGCTCTGGCACCTTAAGTCTCCAGTGTTTTCTCACCCAAAGGAAACTAAGGCTGCATTTCTCAACCCACCTACTAGGGAGTAAATCCCATCAAACTTAGTGGGATGTACTTCTGAGTTTGTGCTGGAACTCCTGGCTGCTGGAGAAAGTGGGAGCATGTAACATAAGAAAAGCCCTGCTGGATCAGACCAATAGTCCATCTAGTCCAGCATCCTGTCTCACACAGTGGCCAACCAGGTCCTCTGGAGGGCTAACAACATAGTGTAGAAGCTGAGACCTTCCCCTGATTCGACTGGCTTTCGAGCAAGGGAACCTTTACCGTTACCTTTACGATTGGTTTGGGTTTCTCCATGCTCCAGACCACTGGGGGGTGCTAGGCCCTTACTTGGAGAGTATTCTGTTGAAAAACCAAGGCTATATCTATCAAGAAAGCTTTAGGCCTAGGCTATTTTTCTAACATGTCCCAGTCAGGATTCTGCTTTCAAAGGCTGCCAAACAGATCCTGGCAAGGGTAAAAAAGGGACTAATCTTTGTTCCCCCCCAGCCCAATTTCCACTAAATTGGAGATTTAACCTTTAATCTCCCAAACAGGAAGTTTCAAATTCTTACCCCAGGATTTGGCAGCAGGAGTGAGAGCAGGCCAGCTATTTCTGGTCTCTGATGAAATGGTCAGTCCCATCTTTGAAATGGTGTTAGATTCTTGGCGGGGTTTACCTTAATCAAGCGATTCCAAACCACCAGGCATGAGGTAAAAGTGATTCCCCCGGTGCTGATACAGGTATCGTTTGCTTTTATTGCGACGCTGCCATATTGGGAGTGGATTGATTCTGAGCCAGGTTTACCCAACCAAAATGATATACGTCTGTGAAGGTGCCCCTGTACAAAGACAGATTGCGCTGGTGTGGTATAATATAGCTGGAATGTCAGACTAGGAGTAGAGAAAGCCAGATTAGAATCCCAACTGTGTTATCAAGTTTACTTGAACACATGAAGCTGCCTTATACTGAATCTGACCCTTTGTCCATCAAAGTCAGTATTGTATATGGAGGAGGAGGAGGAGGTGATTGGATTTATACCCCGCCCTTCACTCAGAGTCTCAGTGTCTTACAAACTCGTTTCCCTTCCCCTCCCCACAACAGACACCCTGTGAGGTTGGTGGGCCTGAGAGAACTGCTCTTGAGAGAACAGCTCTGAGAGAACTATGGCTTGCCCAAGGTCATCCAGCAGCTGCAAGTGGAGGAGTGGGGAATTGAACCCGGTTCTCCCGGATTAGAGTCTGTGCACTTAACCACTACACCAAACTGGTTCACACTGGCAGCGGCTCTCCAGGATCTCAGGTAGGGGTCTTTCACATCACCTCCTGCCTGATCCTTTTTACTGGAGATGCCAGGGATTGAACCTTGGACCTTCTGCATGCCAAGCAGATGATCTGCCAGTGACCCACAGCCCCTCCCCTACTTGGCAGTCTTGAGCCGATAGATCCCTTTCAGGCTAAACCTACCTTACAGGATAGCGTTGAGATGAAATGGGGGAGGAGAGGGGAGAAACATGTACACCAAGCTGTGTTCCTTAGCGGCAGAGTGGGATGCAATATGATCGATAGAGATGCATTTTCAAAAATAACAATTGATTGACCTTGACTTTGCAGAAAAATTCAGAAGTTCTCAGTGCATACGTTGATGCTTGAATTGGTTTATTTGGTATAACTTTTACCCGCCCTTCCTCCGGGGAGGTCAGGATAGCGTCCTTCTCCCCGCCTACGTTTTATCCTCTTAAAAGCCACTGTGAGTTGTCCTGACCTGGATAGCCCACGAAAGCCCGATCTCGTGAGATCTCGGAAGCTAAGCAGGGCCAAACCTGGTAAGTACTTGGAAGGGCAACCTCCAAGAAATACCAGGGCTGGGATGCAGAGACAGATAATATCAAAGCCATCTCTCTGAAATGTTCTAGCCCCACTAGGGGTCGCCAGAAGTCACCATGACTTCCGGGCTCGCAAGCACGCACATATGCACACACAAAAAATGCTCAACGAACAAACAAAACCCACTGTGAGGTAGGTTATGCTGAGACTGAGTGACCGGCCCGAGATCATCCAGAGAGTATCTGTGGTCAACTCAGAATTGGAACCCAAGTTTTCCAGATCCGAGTCCATGAGTCTCATCCATGATGCCTATCTGGTCTGACAACTGAGGTAAACTGAGCCCCCGCCCAGTATGGACACTGGAGGCTAAAGTGTTGAGATTCTTCCATTTTATTATGTTACCAGAGGATTCATTTCAGTTTTCGGTTGGGCTCCTCCAGCCTCTTGCTTTCTTCTCTGCTCCTCCAGTTTATCCTCACAACGACCCTGTAAAGTTAGGCCGAGGGGAATGTAACGGCTAAGTGGGGATTTGAGCATAGCTCTCCTCAGGTTTACGATGGCATTCTAACTGGTGTACCACACTGGCTCTCAGTTATGACCTCACTATGGGAGGTGTGCGTGCATTTGTGAGTGTGTGGGGCAGCGAGGGTTTGCATGCCCCACGATTTAGTTGAGTAACCCTTTCGTAGAAGATAGGTCTTGCAGATCCCAAGCGGCTCTGTTGACGTCTTTCTGCACTTCCTCTGAATGGGTAACATTCTGGAAACTTCTTTGTCCTCTCTACAGAGATGCTGTTCCCTGGACTGCCCACCCCGACTCTGAGCTGGTTCATGCCTGTATTTCCACACCCTCCTCTTTATAACCCCCTCCAAGCTGAAGTTCTTTTTCTAGTAAGGCCAAGCCAGGGATTTGAAGACGGTTGATGCCACAGCTCTGGAATTTGGCACAGGGCCACAGAGGGTCAGGTGACACCTTCTCAGCGTCCCCTCTGCTGGGTCTTTAAAGGGACGGGGCCAAGTGCACTCCCCGGGGAGATCCTCGACTCGGACCGTCACAGCGAATCTACTCAGTGGTTTTAGCCATGCCGGAACCCGCCAAACCCGGTAAGGGACCTCAGCATTTTCAAGGGCATCGTGGACAGAGATGCTCAGGAACTAAACCTCTTATTTTGTGGGATATCGGGACTGTGGTGGTTTGCAGGTATGGCTGGCTTTTGCACCTGCTCCCACCCCATAACTCTGTGCTTTGAAAACCCATCGTCCCCAGGTTCCCACTGCCCCATCTTTGGATTTGGAGTGTTAGTGTGTGCCCTCTGACATAATATCAGCATTTCCCATCACCTTTGAGCCTGTCAGCTGGTCTTTTGTTGATGATTGTTAAATTTGAGGTCGAAAGCAGAAGGGAGAGGCATTTCTGCCGTCTGAACGCGCATTTTGAACAAGGCAAGTTACC